CCTAGGTGCTTTACATAGTGAAAGAACATTGCAAAGGAAAGAGAAGATAGGGACTTTTTTATTCCAAGGAATTTCCTGTTTCTTGAAGTAACATCTCATTGCAAGGGAAAATGGTGATTCATGTTCTTAACAAAGATGATTCTCACTAGAAGAGTTTCTACTCTTGGATGCTGATGTGGATGGAACGAAATCATTACTTTGGGTGACAATTTTGTAGTCAGTTGTTATTAACAAAACAATATCAAGCCTTTCCTTCAAGAATCAAATATCTTCTAACTCAAATGAGCTGGGAACTGCACATTTTGGTGTGCACATATAACAGGCATCTTAAGCTTAACAAGTTTAAAACTCAACCCTAGGTTACTACCCCTAAAGACTGCCTCTCTCCAAGTCTTCTCCATCTCAGTAAAAGGTAATCGACAACTCCATGCCTCCAGTTGTTCAGGTCTGGTTTGGTTTCACAGTGGGTGGTCTCCTGCCTAAGACCACATGGGGCCATGCTTAGTCTGTTCTGTGCCCCCTGCTGGGCACTGTTTTTATCCTCTGTCTGGTTAATACTTGTGTGTCCTTAAAGACTCAGCTCACAGTATCCCTTCCTTCAAATTTACCCCTGATCGCTTTCTTCTGGGCTTCCACTACATTCTGAGCCTCCCTCTGTCTAGGCACTGCAATGATCTGTTTAGGTGTCTGTCTTCTCTGTCCTACAAGACTAGAATTCTCTTAGTACAGGGACAGTGTCTTATCAATCTTTGTGCCCTCAGTGCCAAGCACAGTGCATGCCACACAGAATTCTGATCACTATTTATTGAACCAAAGCTCACTTCGAAACACTAGAGAGAAAAAAAAGAACATAATTGTTGGTTCATGGAGATAGCATGCTAGCCAAAGCGATCAGAGAAAGACTAATTTAGTGTAGACTAAGAATAAAATTACTGGTTATTGATCAGAAAGACACTGAGAGAAGATATGATCAATATCAAGTTTTTTTGTGTGGAAATGGTTATTATTATTATTGTTAGGAAATGCTACAATCAGAGATTAGGATTCTGAACCAAGAAATTATAGACTCTACTACTCTAATGAGCAAATTCATGTTATTGATTCATAAAAGGGAAAAGGTCCAAGAATTCAAAGAAGCCAAGAAAGGTCACTGGTGATTGGTATCTATTTTTTTTCTAGTTGGAGTCTCACTCTGTCGCCCAGGCTGGAGTGCAGAGGCACGCTCACAGCCACCCCAGCATTGACCTGCTGAGTTCAGATCTTTCTGCCTCAGCCTTCAAGTAGCTGGAACTACAGGGCACGCGCTACTATGCCTAGTTAATTTTTAAAAAAATGTTTGTATAGATGAGGTTGCGCCAAGTTGCCTGGGCTGGTCTCAAACTTGTGAGCTCAGGCAATCTACTCGCCTTGGTCTCCAAAAATACTGGGATTACAGGGATTGCTATCTTAATTAAGAAGAAAGGCATGTACTGCAATACAGGCACATGTTGAAGCAGATGTCAATATGGGTGGCAACAGCATTTCCTGCTCCTCAAATCTCAGCCCAGTCACCCGGAATCAATGCGTGGGTCTGAAGTTTTGGAAAGTCATCTCAAGTGATGATCTGTTAGTTCCTGGCCAGACTTTGTGCTGTTCACCAAGGAAACATCCACAGTTGCTGGGATGACACAGAAACCTCAAAACAACTGGAAGATATTAATCAATCAGAGCCACACAGGACAGGCAGAGATGGCAAAAGGGACACCCCCCCCCCAAAAAAAAAGAAAGAAAGAAAGAAAGAAAGAAAAAAAAAAGCTATCTTGCTCTGGCTATGATCTAAAATTCATATTCTCTAAAATGCCCTGTCTATTCTTGGCTAGTAATTGCGTTTTTAACCAGCCCTATTTCTTTAAATTGAGGACCAGAAGGCCCACTTGAGAGTAATAATATTTACTGGTTTTTGTAGAGCTTGAATAACACAATGAACATATAGTACTTGACTGGGTACCTGGCCTAGAGTCCAGGCTGATGAATCTCAGCAAATTCAATGAAGGTAATGAAGCTAATACTTCTATAGAGAACTGTCTTAAATGGCTTATACATATCATCTGAGTTAAACTTTATTAACACCCTATTATCTGTCATTCCCTTTTTTTTTTTTTTTTTTTTTTTACAGACTCCAGGCTGTCTGGCTTCAGAGCTGGCACTATTAGTCACTAAGCAGTGATGATGGAAGTGATCTTGATGATAATGGTGAGGCAAAGCATTGAATCGAACGCCTGGTTCATGGTTAAATGTTCAGTAAATGCTTGCTATTATTACAATCCTGTATTAATTGTAAAGATTTCTAGAGGTAGAAATTCTACATCCATTTTAGCTACTCATTCAAAGACTAAATTGTTTTTATGTCCTTTAATAAATCCTAAAACTATTTTTTGGTATTAATTAAGCTCGTTTTCTCTTTTTCAGATTTCCAGAGGAGAACAAAACTTTCCTGAAATAATTACTCTCTTTGAGGATATTTAGTTAGTCATTAACCCCAAACACTTTACGAACTTTGAAAAGTGGGTGGGCCGGGTGCAGTGGTTTAAGCCTGTAATCCTAGCACTTTGGGAGGCCAAGGTGAGGGGATTGCTTGAGCCCACAGATTCAGAACAGCCTGGGCAACTTGGGGGGACATCATCTCTACAATAAACCAAAAAATTAGTTGGGTAGAGTAGCGTGTGTCTGTAGTTTCGGCTACTTGAAAGATTAAGGTGGAAGGACTGCCTGAGCCTAGCAGCTTGATGCTGGGGTGGCCATGAGCGCGCCACTGCACTTCAGCCTGGGTGATGGAGTAAGATTCCAACTCAAAAAAAAAAGTGGGTGCCATTTTCTTGTTTTCCATCTATTTAATTTGTTGCTTTTCCCTGAGACCCTCACAGTTTTCTTTCATTTATCTATGAAAGCTAAAAGCAAAACTGGGCACTGTTTTCTATTTCATCACTGTGGTGATTAGTGGAAGAGTCATTCCTTAATGCTAACCCTGACTCTAACCCAGGCTTTGTTTGTGTGCTACTGTGAGGAGTCATAGTAACAGATCAGACTTTCTTTGTCTTGGATGATCTTATAAACATACCATTTATCTTAAAGAGTTATGGGAGGATTACATGTGATGGTGTTTGTAAAAGGATGATAGCATGGTGCCTAATAAATATCAGTCAAGACATAATCTGAATCTAGATGAGGAACCTGCTATCTTGCATGAAAAATGTACCCCTTTCTAGTACTGTGAACCCTCTAATAGCCTGTTTGTCCACAGGATAGAACCCAATGTTATTAACATGTTCTCATGGCATCCAGGGCTATTCAGGAGCTGGTCCCTACTGCTCTGTCAGCCCCCTCCCTTGCCACCATCTCCCATCAGGACGTGCTCTTCCCAGACATACTGAACACCTTGCTCCTCTCTGACCTCATTGTGCTCTTTCACACCTCTATGTACCTGTACATGTTGACTCCTGTGTTTAGAATGTCCTGATACTCCAACCACCTAGGAAATTCCTCAGCATCTTTCAAGAATAAACTCAAGCATTACGTTCTACATGAAGCCTTTCTCATTCATCTCATAGCATCATATACAAACTTCTCTATAGAACTTAGGGAATTGGGTTCTTTGAGCTTCTTTTTTGAGGGCAGTGGCTGTATTTTCCTTTTCTATCCCTAAGGCCTGATGTGCATCAAAAACTTAAGAAATGAGTGAACGATTAAACTATACTCATTGGTCAGTCTTAGTACAAGTACCATCTCCCATTACCCTCACCTCTTCAGAACCACTCATCTTGGCCCTTTGTCCACTTGCGCCTTGCCCTGAAGTTTGACACACGTGTCAGGTGTCCAGGTGTCCTCAATTCCCAAGGCAATGATTATTCACTTGTCAAGTGAGTGACTATGGAAGAAAATCCAACCTTTCAACGTCATGTTGGTCACATAGTATAAAAAATCTTATGTTGTTTTATTCTAAATAACTGCAAATGGATTTTAAAAAGCAAATGGTTTAATTCTTACATTCCTCAGATTTTGAAATTAGGCATTCAGTTAATTATTATAATAAAAATCTTTCTTCTTGGAAATGATGGAACTTTTCTTAATCTCCTGAAGAGGTATAGATCTTTTGAGAAATGAGGCGTTCCCAGAATTTTGGAATAAGATGGTGGATTAAGACTGTATCACAATACTTCTAACCCCTAATACCTAGCAAAATAATAAAACTTCCTTCAAAAGAACAATTACACACAATCAAAGAGGGCAGGGTATAACTGAAGGCAATCAAATACGTCATGGAAGGAAACATAAAATTACAGAGCAGAGGGACGCCTAACGCTGCCCCTATTCTCCTGAAGTGAAGTTTGGCTTTCTCTTTAGACAAAATAATCTTTCATTTGTGATTTTAGGGAATACTCAGTCCTTCCTTAATTATTTGTGTAAACTGACCAGAGCACAATTTCAAATGTAAAATCTTCAAGTAGCAATCACTGCTTAGGAAATATTGGAATGTCTTAATCAATATATATATATATGTTTTTGAGTTGGAGTCTCACTCTGTTGCCCAGACTGGGGTGCAGTGCCACGCTCCTGGTCACTGCAGCCGTGACCTACACACTCTGGATGATCCAAAATACTTCTCTGTTTCTTCAGTGAACATAAAATGATTTGTAGGCAGACAATTCTATTTGTGAGTTTCCAGTAAAGGTGAGATGCTCATATATCTTTCATGAGGGGATTCAGGAAGTTGGGTGTCTACCAGGGTTACTGTCAAAGTTGCTGCTTCCTGAACAGGAGGAAAGATGCGGTAAAATATTTTTCTTTGAATAACTCAACTTAGCAAGACATGGAGTGAAAGTCCACAGTTTTATGCAGACATTTTGGCACCAATTAATTTTTTCTGACTATCTGATTAGGTTCAGATAACTTTCTCCAACAGTTCTGAGAAGGGTCCAGATTTAGACCCAGGATATTTTCTTGGAGCCTAAGTGGAAGATTACCTGTAAATTATCCAGGATGATGCGGAGGGAGTGCACCTGTCGCCGGACAGCACCTGAAAACCTTTCATAAGTTGCAGCATCATATTCACTCATCTGGATCTCCTTTAGCCTAAAACCAGAGAGACAAAAAAGGTAACAGCTTGAATCATGTACATGTGAGTCTTATACTTTCATTCACTTTCTGCTATAATTTTAGCAAACTCCTTGGCAACTCAGATTAACTTTGAGGAGAAAAAGGAGGAAGTAGATGTCTCCAGCTATGTTTCCAGATTCAAAGGAAGGAAATGCCCAGGGTTGTGCTGGAAAATGGTTAAAAAAGGAAGGAGGGAGGGAAGGAAGGAAGGAAGGCCCTGACTTGTAGTAGTTGCTGATTTCCATGGTGTAAACATTGCCACCATGATCATAATAGTGAGGTCCCTGAAAAATGAGTTAGAAAGAAATGTGCACAACTGGCGATCGACACTACAGCACACCACTGCTATATCCTAAAGACATTTTGTGATGTTGGCAGCTGATCAGTTCATGTAGGAGATTTGCAGATTCCTAACAGAGTTCCCATGAGTTGCTTTTTTAAGACCGAGATCATATAATTGGTTGATTAAGATAACAGTCCAGGCCCAAAGGATATAATATTTGGTATGTATCCTGCCCAAAGAATATAAGTTAATATGCTGCTATGTATCCCTACACAAGAATTTTCTAAAATTGCCAACAGTTAACTTGCAATAAGACAACTGTATTTTAATATTATTGTGACTTTGCAATTCTATCCTTCCAGCATGTTGCTCCTTTTCTTGTTTTTCCTCAATTGCTTCTGCTAAAGCACCACAGTGCACTGGCAGTTCCCTGCACATGCTTACACTTTGGGCCCAGGCCTCGGTGCCCCTGCAGGTGTTTTTCTCCCACCCTGAGTGTTCTTCTGCTTCTTTGCCTACCAGCTCCCACTTGCCCTTCAGGGTGATGCCTACTATAGGAAGCCTGCTCTGAGCCTTGGGTCTGCCTTCCAGGCATGCATCTCGCCCCATCCCTCCTGCAATCAGAGCACTTCCTAGTCACACTGTAACGGCCTGCCTTCTGTCTCCCCAGCTGGGCTCTGTGTTCCTTTAGGTAAGCGCTGAGTCTTTTTCATTTTGTCTATGCGCCTAGCATGGTACCTAATATGTAACAGACATTCCAAATAAATTGCAATGAATGACTAAAAAATACAACTCAGGATTATTTAAAATGCAGCATCTTAAACTAATCATAAGTAGAAAGTTCGTTCACTAAATGACCTCCCTTGGGTTTTACAGCACTGCATCCATTTTATACACTAATTTAATCACACATGTATATGCATTTCTTTAAATATAACAGGTGCTGATATTAATACCAGGACAGGGAATAATGAATGTATACATATATTTTTTGAGTTGGAGTCTCACTCTATCACCCAGGCTGGAGTGCAGTGGCACACTCACAGCTACCCCAGCATCAAACTGCTGGGCTCTGGTGATCCTTCTGCCTCAGCCTCCAAGTAGCCAGAACTATAGGCGCGCCTACCAAACCTTGCTAATTTTTGATATATTGTAGAGACGAAGTCTCAACAAGTTGCCCGGGCTGGTCTCCAACTTGCTGGCTCAGGCAATCCACTCATCTTGGCCTCCCAAAGTGCTGGGATTACAGGCTGAGCTACCGAGTCCGGCCATGAATGCATATCTTAAAAGCCTAAGTACAACACAGTCTTTGAAACTGCTGTGTGTGTATATGCATGCATGCGCATGCCATGTTGGAAGTATGAATCCCAGGTGCATGCCTGGAAGGCAGACTCAGGGCTCAGAGCAGGCTTCCTACAGGAGGCATCCCTGACTGGAGTCCTGAAGGGCAAGTGGGAGCTGATAGGCAAAGAGGCAGAGGAAGAACACTCAGGGGGAAGCACCTGCAGGGGCACCAAGGCCTGGGTCCACAGTGTAAGCGTGTGCAGGGGACTGCCAGTGCACTGGTGCCACTTTAGCAGAAGCAAATGATGAAAAATGAGAAAAAGGAGCAACATGCTGCAAGGATAGAATTGCAAAGTCACAATAATATTAAAATACAGTTGTCTTATTTCAACCTTGCTAAGACTCTTATCTAATATATATTTCTATCACCTTGGGCTAAAACAGAAACTCCAAATGCTGAATGAGAATGAATGGTCTCTATTCCTCCCTGTCAGGCTGAGCACGGGGAAGAATCCATTCATCATGGGGCAAAGTGCTAGAAGCTTACTACAACTACATAATGCTAGGCCTAGACTACCATAGGGGAAGATTTGCAATTCCTGCCCTGTCACCCAGCTGGGTTAGCTAACACCAACTTGGGTTTCAAGATCCAGCTCAAAGGCCACATTCTATGAAGTCTTGCTTGTTCCCTTAAATAAAAGCGATTATTTCCATTTCATGTACTTTATACAGACATCTGCCATGAAATCTGTACACTTTATTGCTTTGATAGATAGATCTGTTTTTCTTTCTCATGGTTTTCTTCAAATTTTTCTTTTCCATTGCAGGAAATGTTTTATATTAAGATCCAGTATACACAAATGTGTGTGTATGTATAATTAAACAAAAAATTAATATAAATATGTTTATTATATGTGATGTACTGTGACATTTTCTATTTTATTTGTCAGGGACGAGGACCACATTTTATTTTTTCTTTGCATCTCCAATATCTAGCACAATGCTTGACATACAGTGGCACTCAATAAATACTGTTGATAGCACTTTGAAAACACAGACTATCAAAAGGTAAACACAGACAGGGCCACTATAATATCTGAATGGCTGTATCCTGAGGTGACATGTCAAGGTGCCCTTCTAACTCTAAATAACTCGCTGTTCTGAAGAACAAAAAGAAATATGTATATAGGACCTGACCTCCTAACAATACCTCTTATGTTTGGTTTTGGCAGTCTCTGAAATCTTTCTATGAATTTTCATTAGATTAAGTTATGTCTCAAGTGTCAAGACTGACAGCGGCTAGGCACAATGAACACTGCAGGGTATGCTGCCTACCCCTTCCTGCCTAGGAAGTTCATATGTTCTTTCCCAAAGAAAGGGGATTAGCACTGATTAGAAAAATGTACACATAGTTGTCCTTGTGGGGAGGGGAAGGGGGAAAAGGGGTTGGAAGAGGGAATATATGTACATATATATGTGTGTATGTATACATGGTACCTAACATATAATAGCTGCTCAAAATAAATTGAAATGAATGACTCGAATAAACATACAACTCAAGATTATTTAAAGTAGAGCATCTTAAATTAATCCTAAGTAGAAAGTTCATTTAATGAGGGACCTCCCTTGGACTGTACAGTGCTGTATCCATCATACATGAATTTAATCATGTTTCTATAAATTTCTATAAATATAAAAGGTGCTGATACGAGGACAGGTTGTAATAAATGCATATCTCAAGAGCCTAAGGACAAAATCTAAACTTCTCTGTGTGTGTGTATGTGTGTGTGTGTATGCAAAGTTAGAGGTATGGATCCTAGATGTACACATATATATACACACATAACCATATACATACACATATAATCATATACATATACACACATGTAAACACACATGCACATATATGCACATACATACATATAGATACATATCAAGGAAGGAGCCAGTCAGTTGGTAAGTTACCTCGAGCAGACTGATCTTTGTAGAGAGATCAGAATTAGCTCCAGTTATAGGGCTACATCTGGCATGATCAAGTTGCACTCAAAACACACCACATGTTGTTTTAATTATGAAGAAATCTGGAAACCATATTCCAGATTGTGTCAGCTTTCAGAGAGATCACCTACAAGGTGTTCAAAGCTGATAACAAATTCTGAAAAATGAAGGCCAAAGTAGGGAATGGGGAAAGAAAACAGGACAGTTTAGCCTCTGGATCAAACAGGGTTCCCACTGCTAATACTCTCAAGCCCACAAAACTAGCTGAAAATATGTCTTTCTGTTTCCTTAGCCCTGTTCAAAACTGCAGGGCACAGCTGCTTCACATCCTAGTAATCTATGGACTAACTGCACTTTGTTGGCACAGTATATTTTTAAAGGGTATATTTATTGTTACGTAAGAGTCTGGGAATTTTAGTCCTCATTTTACTTTTTCTTATAGGTCAGACTTAAATACTATAATTTTGAATCAATTATGAGAAAAACAAACATAAGCTGAGATCCACTGTGTGAGTCTGATTAGTTTTGCAAATGGTAGTGAATGCAATTTCCATAGCTGGTGCCCACCCTAAATGCTTTTCTAATGTGTACAATAACCTCACTGTCTATTTTATTCACTTTTTGTTGGTGTAATGTTTCTGTTCCAGAAATTTTATGCATGTTTTATGCCTTTCTCCCTGTTAGTCTGTCTGAGCTAATATATTCCTAATATTTAGGGAATAATACCTAGCTTATTACTAAATACAAATGGACACTAACAAAATGCTATGTTGATGATGTCAAGGACCCATCAGTAGGAGCAGGCTCTTCAAGGGTGTGGACCTTCTGGCCCACAGTCAAGACTGCCTAGTGTCAGTAGATCTCTGAATTAAGTATTAAAGGATGATACCACTACTTATATGAATGTGTGTATTATTCGCCACACAAATATCTACAAGTGTTTGCCACATACTAGCTTCTGGGTATAGGTCCTGGGGTTATACAAGAGCACAAAACAGATAGATCCTTGCCCTCAAGGAACTTATAGTTGGTGGAGAGACAGTCAACTGTTCATGCAAATCGCAAAATGGAAGAGTGATTAAAGCTATGGAGAAAAGGCCTAGTGGGTCAGAAAAGCACAGATGGTAGGACCTGGCCTCATTGTGCATTTGTCTAAAGTGGCAAAATAGCTTTAAAACTAATTATTGATAGTACCAAAAAACTAATAGTTTTTTTAGACTTGATATTAGTTTGGGGAGGTTTTTTTTTGAGATCTTAGAGTGACACACTCAAATATTTATCATGAAATGATAGAATGTCTTGGATTAACTTCAAAACAACCTAGGGATGAAGACTGGGAGTAAAGCCAGTTTTTTCTTCTTGAAGCTGGGGGGTCAGGTCCATAGGGTTCATTATATGTTTTTCTCTACTTTTGTTTTATGTTTGAAAAGTTCCATAATAAAAAGTTAAAGAAAAACCTTCAGCAGTACTAAGTGGAGTACTCATCAAATGGGATGAAAGTCCTGTTTCTACAAGAAAGTAGAAAGCACAACTTCCTCTTGGTGTCTTGCTGTGTTCCCATCCTTCCAGGATCTTCATGTGTTTTCCTTTCTCTCTCCTCTTTCTCACACCCTTACCCACCTCTTCTATCTTTGAACACTTTATGGGCATCTCTTTTACTTCGACTGAGATTGTTCTATGCAGTATTTCATAGAGGAGTGTGGTTTTCTCACTTATCCCATTTTCCAAGTCCTCTCTCCTCCTGACATTCACTAAATGCAGTTGTCCAATTGGTACAGATGCCTCTCACTTCTTTCTCTGTGGAGCAATGGTCCTTAACTGAACTGTGCTCCATAACCCTACTCTGGCAATCAGAGAAAGGGTTGTACTTGGGCCCAAGCATGACTGCAAGGCATTTCTGCTTCCCTGTGAACTACTTGTGCACCAGAGCATATAACTGCCTACTTGTCCATGTGGGCAAAAATGTAGATTGGACAATTACATGTGAAGTTTTGAGTGTGGCAACAATAGAAATTCATTAGTTGGGGAGGGGAGAATGACACATATTTAATTGTTTGGTTCTTTTCCTAAACAGATATTTATTCATATGAAATACAGACCAGTTTTTTCATTCTAACTAGATTTTTCATAATGTATTGCTCCCACCTTTCTTCAAGAAGTTTCACTTGCTTTAATTCCTAACATAGTTAACGGTTTTCATAAACTCTCTGGGAGAAAGTGAGACTGAAGTCTCCTACTTTCAGAAGAACAAATTCAGGCACAGGGAAGATTAATAAACTATCTAAGGTCACCAGGAAAGCCCCCAGATGGGCTGAGAGCACCCCTCTTTCCTCTAACACTGAGCATGTAATTTACCTGCTGAGCCCATGAGGGCCTTGAGCTGGCTGGCTTTCCTGAGGGTGTGGCAGGCAGGACCTGCATGTCTGTCTCTATTGTTCTGTGCTGTTTACTTGCAGGATGTGAAAGCACAGCATGTAATGTAATACCAGATGTTCTACGTGGGAGGAATTTCATAACTCATACCCTTGAGCACGCTGTTTTCTGACTGTACTCGGCTCCTTTCATTGAGCACAAAAACGTAAATCTTCTTCCCAAATCACCACCAAGGAGATGTTGGTTCTTTGGTGTCTTTCACTTTTAGCAGAAGCACACATGTAGACGTCTAGTAAAGCATCATGTGGAATCTTCTGATTTTTCAGGCCGGTCCAAAGTGGCCCAGAATGGAATGGAATGTCTCAAGGCCTGGGCTCATGGGCCTGGATTTCAAGGCCTCCACCCACTGACAAGGCCTCACTGCCCATCTCTCCCCAGTTGGTACCCTTTATCCTGGGTGGGCAAGCTGGCTCTCTCTGCCACAGACACTATGCCCCGTGCTTCTGCTTATTTAGTTTTCCCTTCCTGGAATGTTCTATCTCTTCTCTTCCCATTTCTGACTCCTGGCTGAGCTCAGGCCACCTCACATCTGCCTACTCTCCTTGCCCTTCTCTGCACTGACAGAGGGCAGAGCCTCCACACCATGTGACTTTAGCACTTACCAGGGTGCTGTGTGTATATGTGCATGCGAGCATACTAGTCCTGACTCCACACTATTCTGCAAGATAACACAGAGTTATCTGAACTCCCTGTGTGGCCTAGGAACAGATGGATGGAGTGATTTGAGCTTTAGTTGAACTTCTCTGAAGAGAAACATCTTTGGTTCTGCTTTCTTCTGTGCTCAATTCCTTCCTCTACACAGTCATATGTGATCAATAAATTTAAAAGAAACTGGGTAGAAAGAATGGGGATTTTGTTGACTTGGCTATCTCTATTAGGGAGGGGGTGGCTATGGATTTCAGTGTGTGGTCCAAATTGCTGCATGAGGCAGAATATCACACAAATCTTGGTTTACTCACAGTCTACCATGACATTTTGCTGCAGCAGCCAGTACTGCTCTGGAGGCCATGGGAACACTGACCTCTGTTGAAATGCTCTCTGGCCCATCTCTCTTGCGGCTCTCTTGACCTCCTCTGGAACTGCATCTTTCTCGGCATCAGAGATCTGGTACACTGTATGGCCTGCATCCAGCCGGTAAGGACCTCCTTTGCCACCTAGACCTGCTGTGTCTCTTCCACCTGGAAGAAAAACATGGAAATTCAGATGATAAGTCTGAACTTGACCATAAAACAAAAGTCAGACTGTGGCTTTAAGACTGTCTCATGATGTATATTAATTATACTTAACTAGTAGTTAATTGTTCAAATGACCTTCTTCTAGAAATGAAGGTGTTCTCTGTTTAGGATGCTTTTCCTTTTCTCCATCCATCTAAATTCAACCTATGTTCCAAAGCTCAGTCCAACTTCTATGATACCTTAGCTGATGCCTCTATCTTACAGAGGCCAATATTTTTGTTTACTGTTTGTCACCTTTTAATATTTAGTTTTGTTTTTTTCTCACCAACTATATGATAGATGGGATCATATTTTATTTATCTTTGCAGCTCTGCACCTTTAAGAATGGCTTGGATATCATAGATACTTTGTATATACTTGCTAATTAAATAAGCAACTCATCTCTTTCCTCATGTTACCTTATCCATGTAGTATCTAGAGAGAGATTACAAATACTGTTTCTTCTGTTTTGCAAATTACAAAAATGATGCAATGGGAGATTAAATAATCTACTTATGACCTCATATCACTGGCTTAAACAAGATTAGAAGCCAATTATTATACCAATTTTGACTTTTTGCTTTGAACAATATACAACAGATAAACATCACAGGCTTCAGAATGTCTTTTAATACAAATGCAAGTTTACATGCTTATAAGCATACATTATGTACTATTATATAATCTGTTCATGTTATAAATATAAATCAAATGCCTGTAAGGCCAGATGAGTAATATTATAAGTGGTGGGGACACTGGCTAGTTAGAGAGGATTTACTTTTTCTAAATACACCCAATCTCAAGTTATTTTAAAACACTACACAAAGAAAAAAATACATCTATTGGCTAGATTTGGCCTTTGAGTTACCAGTTTGCAATGACAGAATACTAGTAATACATACCAGTTTCTCTTCTTCATTCATACATAACTTGAGAACTTAGAAGAGAATCCACCATTCGAGAGGTGGTGTAGTACAGTATACATACTCATATCATACAGTTAAGCCAGACAGCCCTAGATTGAATACTGGCTCCAACTCACTAGTCATTTGTCTTTGAGGAATTATTTAACTACTTTGTGTCTCAGTCTCCCCATCTACAAAATGGGGATACTAATATTATTTATTTTATGGGACTGCCATGAAGCTAAACTGCTTAGAACAGTATCTGGAACATAATAAAAGCTATATAAGGGACCAGTTTTATTATTATTATTTAAGCAACTTCTTGTAACATAGAAACAGGCAATTCCTAGTTTCATAAAGTGGAAAATCTGAAAGCTTTTAGACTTGGGTTAGGTTATGTTACGTTTTCCCCCCCCCCCCGAGCTTTAGTTGGTCTAATAAAACTAAAAATGAGAACTCAGCATGAACTGCTTTCCTATGAAAGTCAAGGTAGGTCATTTCCTTTTGGGAAATACCATGAGAATGGCCTATCAATTACAGTATTTTTTATCTTTTGATTGGGGCATATCTTATTTCATTTTTATTTAGAAGTGAGTGGTGGAAAATTCCTTCTGTGATTCCTGGCTCTCACTCATAGTCAGGCTGTAGGCAGAGGCCAGCAAGAACTGGGTAATGTCACTGAGCTGCAGGTGGAAAGGCTGTTTCTGGGACCTGACTCCTTTCCTACTGGAGGTTATCTTTAGTTTTGGTGGATCATGAAATAGAGTGGAAAGCTTCCTAGGCACTGACATACATCATTTTGGTGAAAGAAGGAAAATGATGATGCTGTTAGAGGCTGGTGTGAGTGACAGCCACATGAGTCATAGGGCCCTACGGAAAGTCACACAGGGTGGAGAGGGCAGGAGGCGAGAGTTCTTCATAATCTCCACTCTCCAGAACCTTTAACTTGTACTACTTAAAGGAAAATATTTACCAGGAGTTCTACCACTTGCAAGGCATAATCTTTTTTAAAATTTTTATTTATTTATCTATTTTATTTTAAAGATGTGGCATACAATTCAGGGTTAGGTATACAAAAGTTCATTTTGCAGGTACCCTTGTTGATGAGGTGTGCCCCTCCCTCCCCTGGCAGTCTCCCTCAACTGCCAATCCCACCCTCCCTCCCCAAGGCATAATCTTAAAGCTAAGCTTGTACACCCCAAACCAGTTCAGAACATAATGGGGAGGATGGGCAATGGAGGGGCTTTGGTGGAGAAAAGGGAATCAAGTGACTTGTTGGGCCACAGCTGAGTTCCATGTAGACAATTCTGAAGGAGAAGAATGGCACAGAGAAAAAAAGAAATCGAAGCCAAGGAGCCTTGACTAACTGAAAAATAAGAGGCCAGGGGAAGCAGATCCAGAGTCTTCAGTCTGGACAGAAATGTGAGCGAGGAGATTCAAGTTGAGGAACAAGGAAGAACTTTCACTCCAGAGTAGTCCCTTGCTGGGAAACCTCCATCTGGCCAGCTCATTTCACAGTGCATTCCATACGGATTAAGTCTTGTTGGCTTGACACTAACTTCCAGATCAAAGGACATTTCTAAAAATAGCCTTACTTTAAAACTGATGCTTGATGAATAAACAGAGCAGGCAAGAAGTCCACAGGCCTATTTGATGGCACATTGTCTCAGCACAGAAACCCATTTCCTCCCCAGGCTGTCAAGGCCAAGAGGCACAGACCATCCTGAGGGAAGGTGAAGTCCAGAGCCTGTGCCAGCACGCCTTACCGCTGAGATAAGCTCAGACAGTGCACGCACAGTCTGGCCCTATTCCTGTGGCCCAGCAGATGTGTCTGCCCCAGCTGCCGCAGAGGAAAAAGGAAGACGGCAGTCCTGGGAACAATGCTCTGAGGGGCCAGCCAAGAGGAAGGAATGGGCCACAACCATCAGTTCAAACTGCAACCAGCTCTCTTATCTCAGAATCTCGCATCCTCAATGCACTCACGTCTAAGATGTGGAAGACAGGGACCATTTCTTTTCAAAGTCAGTTGCTCAAAAAAAGAATTTACTGTAGATTTCGGACGTGGTCCCAAGGTCATGGAATTGAAAAGAAGGGATTAACATGTGAATGAATGCATTCTTCATGCCAGGCACTGTGCTCAGTGTTTTACAATCATAATCTCATTTAATCCTTACCACAACCCTGTGAGGCAGTTAGTATTATCCCCCCTGTTACTGAGGAAGCAACTCTGGGAGGGCGAGAAGGGTGTTAGGTCATGCAGGCTCTTTGCATGTTTTCATGTCATGCTTGGGCGGAGGGCAAGAACACAGTCCAACTGAGTAACAGGGCAGGCTGAGAAGGAGAGCTGGTCCCTGAGCCTTCTTGGGAGTGGCGCACAGGCCTGATGGTCTTGTGAAGGCTCAGGAAGCCATGCTCAAGAGAATGCCTGTGCTACCAACCTGTTCCGCCAGCCCAAGTATTGCCGCCCACGTGAGGCATGTTGTCCGGGTCCTCCTTCCCATGTTTGGGGGAGCTCACGTCTTCACCACTATCTCTGTTGATTGTTATCTAAAAATGAAGAATTGAGATATTATCACTATTCTGTGACCAACACCAGGAGCTGCATGACAGAGAAAATAACTCATTTCTTCTATGTCCTTAAGGTATCACATTACCTCAGGCTGCAGGATGTGATCCATGCTGTATTTGGCAAAAATTCCATCAGATTTAACATACTTAGTTGGAAAGAAGATGAATTTAATTTTTTAAAAAATTCTTTAAAAAAAAGAAAAGGAGCTGGACTGGGTTTCAGCTTCAGAATTCTCCTGGTGCAGAACATGCTGGGAACATTTACAAAAGACAAGAGACCCACCAGAAGCAGGGAAAATGGACATTTCCCCAGTGGCTTAAGAGGATAACCACCAAGTGGATCTGGCTGAGTCAGTATATATACATGTACCCATTTTGCTTTCAAAGAAATCCCACTACTCTGAAAAATGCCCTTTCATATAAAATATATGGAAAAGAAAAACAAAAAATATACATATGTGTGCCTCAGTTATAGATTTATGTTGTATATGCCCACATATACTAAAAACTGCTTATTTATTTTTTGGACCCACTCCAATTTTATTATGGTATCTTGTAGCTTTCCTAAAGCGTTCATATTTTAAAATGGATTTACTATTCCTGCAATTCAAACAGAATAAGAGGCATGTTAGCCATCCTCTGTGAGAGCCTGTAGTTCACTGGTCCCTGTTTCATTTGGTAGAGTCACCAGAAAGACTGATAGGCATACAGGAATTCCAGTCTTCATTGTCATCTTGGTAGATACTACCCCATACCTAAAGGAATTCAGCGCATTCGTTTTTCACGTACTCTGTGAGTCACTCTCTAAGGGAATAATTTTCAGGAAGGATATGTGTTCAAATAAGATGTATAGAAAACATACTGGCAGTAGTACCAGTGCAGAGTACCATGGGGCCTCCAAAGCCATGAGGGGCTGGTCCCTGCCCTCAAGTTGCTTGCCAAGGAACAGAGGAGCTTGCAAGGAGCTGGAAGTCAGTCTTTAGTGCTAACCCAGTCCATATTTGTATGCAGGTTTTTCTTTTCTTTTTTTTGTTTTTTGAGTTGGAGTCTCACTCAGTCGCCCATACTGCAGTGCAGTGGCCACTCCCGGCCACCGCAGCCTTGACCTGCTGGGCTCCGGCGATTCTTCCACCTTAGCCTTCCAAGTAGCTGGAACAACAGGTGTGCGCTACCACGCCCGGCTAATTTTTTTGATTTATTGTAGAGATGAGGTCTTGCCAAGTTGCCCAGGCGGGTCTCGAATCTGTGGGTTCAGGCAATTCACTCACCTTGGCCTCCCAAAGCGCGGGATTATAGGCTGAGCCACCGAGCCCGGCCTGTGTGCAGGTTTTTCATTCTTGTTGTTGGGATTAATGAAAGTATGTAAGTAATTTAAGGGCTTTACAAAATGGTCATTAAGAATAAAAATCAACATAATGTGCACTGCCTTATGTCCAGATGGGTTTCATTTCAAATGTTACATTCTCGAAAAGAGATTTTAATAAGCCAGATTTTTCTGCAAACAGCTTTGGTAGCATTAACAAAATTCTTGCCATAATTTCAGAATACTCCAAGAAAGTTTAGCAGTCAGAATGTGATAATTGATATAAATTCCACTCACATAGAGCATGATGCTCTAAAAATGGGTGAAAATAATTTTTTTCTCCTTTTTTCTTAAACTAGACAGAATAGGTAGGAACATTTACAGCACAAATGAACATTTTAAATACTTTCCCCCAACATGGAACCACCCCTACTAGCTGTCAAAAGTGGACTGGATAAAGCCAATGTGGTGCATATACATGATGGAGTATTATGCAGTCATACAGAAGAACAAAATCATGGACTTCACAGCAGATTAGATGGAGCTGGAGACTATCATACTTAGTGACCTGTCACAGAAACAAAGAAATGAATATTGTATGTTCTTGCTCATAAGTGGGACCTGAACATTAATCACATTAGCATAAGGAAGAGACTGGCAGTTGCTGGACACTGCCAGGGGAGGAAGGGGGAACAAGTAACAATACAAAGGATACCTGGTCCCAACCAGGGGAAGTGAGGGCCAGTTACGGGCCCACACCTCAGCTGCAAGCAGCCTACTTGTGTAGTTAATCCTTACTTGTACTCCATATCTCTATAATAAAATAAAATTTAAAAATAAATACTAAAAAATAAAAAGTGGCCACTACTTTCCAACTTGTCCATAAACAGTTAAGATAAGCAGTAAATTAAAGTGTGAGCTGCCGGGCTCGGTGGCTCAGCCTGTAATCCCGCGCCTTAGGAGGCTGAGGTGAGTGGATTGCCTGAGCCTGCGGGTTCGAGATCCGCCTGGGCAACTTAGCGAGACCTCATCTCTACAATAAATCAAAAAATTAGCCAGGCATGGTAGCGCCTGCCTGTAGTTCCAGCTACTTGGAAGGCTGAGGTGGAAGGATCGCCGGAGCCCAGTGGGTTGAGGTTGCAGTGGCTGCTCCCGGCCACTGCACTCCAGTCTGGGTGACAGAGTGAGACTCCAATTCAAAAAAAAAGTGTGAGCTGACTACAGGAATTCTGGAAGAATACCAATCAATACAATGTTCTGTATTGATAAAAATGTTTATATTTGTGGTGTCCAATATGGTAGCCACTAGCCATTAGCTCAATATGGTTGCAAGCTCTTGAAACGTAGCTTGTGTGACTGAGGACCTGAATTTTAAATTCTATTTTGTTAACTAAAATTTTAGTTTAAACACATGGCTAGTGGCTATTTCACTGGACAGCATGACTCAGGGACAAACTTCCCTAAGACCTGGAGATACTATCTGGAGATCTTCACAGCCCCCTATAGATGTTCTCCATGAGAAATGAGAAAAACAGGCACATTTCAAAATTGGGATATGGTTTTACTCTTTTGCTAATTTAAGAAGTCTATATAAAGGCATAACTACACTCTATTTGTCAACAAACAGTATAGAACTTACCTGTGGAGAGACATTTTTTTTACAATAAGATAATACACTTATTTTTTAAACATAAAGATATACATATTACAATAATGCTGCCACTACCCCCAAAGACTTCTGGACTGCTTCTAGAAAAATCTTCAGAATCCATGGCAGGTTCTTCTTAAATATCTTTGATAGTAGTGTTTACGTGTTCTTTAAAAACAGATTTGATTTTTAACAAACACTCAAATGTTGCTTGGAGTTGACTTCCACTGTAAGCTATTTGCTCACATTTTATATAACCTCTGGCAAGTCAATCAATTTCTCTGGGCTTCAACTTTCTCATCAGGAACTATGGGGGTACAACTAAATGATTTCTGCTATTATACCCAGCTTTGATGTGCTGTGACTGATTCAATAATTCCAAATCTGGTAAATAAGGTGATTAAGCTAGCGTTTTCATCAAAACCAGGTACAGTTATACAGTAATGAGATACATGATGGTGCCTGACTTACAATAGTTCAACTTATAACTTTTCAACTTTCCTATGGTATGAAAGCAATATGCGTTCAGTAGAAATCATACTTCAAGTCATTCTGCTGTCATTCTGCTTTTCACTTTCAGTACAATACTCAATAAATTACCTGGTATATTCAACACTTTATTATAAAACAGGCTTTGTGTTAGATAATTTTGCCCCACTGAGCATATGTAAGGTAGGCCTGGTTAAGATACGATGCTCTGTAGATTAGCTGTATTAAATACTTTTTCAACTTATGATGTTTCCAGCTTATGATGGGTTTATCAGGATGGAACCCCACTGTAAATCAAGGAACATCTGTAGTTTGCTTATAAGGGTCAATTCTACAACAGAAGGTCCAAGAATAGTCTAAGCAATGATAGAATTATTAGAAGAACTGGTCTGAGCATCATTCTTCACTACGGAGGGCAGGTGTGTGTATTCTGGTATATTGTTTACAAATAAATTAAACAACTTAAGAAGAGGTATGAAAGGCAAGTTCCTATGTGTCTATAACTTTACTTTCATCAAATATTACTTATCTCCTTCAGACATTTCACACATCCATGTATGCTACCGTAAGAAAACAGCCTTTTAAGAATAAGTGCTAAAAATGATGGCTTAAGGCAAAAGAAAAGACCCCTCAAATAGCCTCCCTCAATTGCCTGTGAAATTCCACTTTTGAAGTTGGGAAGACACTTATAATAGCCACCAGGGAAGCAGAAAACAGGCGATACAATTTCTGGGCTGAGAGGAACTGGCGTACTCTTTGCCACCTGTGTGTCTTGCTAGGCTGTCTGCTAGGAAGTGGACTGCTCACGTCACCAACAATTGGGGGGCTCTACACCAGCCCCAAATGGGAGCCCAGACATACTTCAAAGCAGACAGATTCTTAACAAAAATAAACATCAGCCCAAACCTGATTTATTCTGGAGAAATACATACCATAAAATTCGATCAATGTTTAGTTAAAAGCAAGGCATTTGAGAAGTTTATCTAATTTTGTGTCATCGTGGATGCCACTACACTCACTCACAGAGTATATTGCTCTAGGTGGATGGGAGGAATCCATTATCTGCCAAGAGGCTTTCATAGGCATCTCTTTAGGACACCTCTTACATGAACTGGCAACGATTCACAAAAGGTACAAGGCAGGAAGTCTAGGACAGGACAGAAACTGAAACAGATACCTGGAAAGGACTATCATTTGAGGAATCTTGTTTCCTGGGGACAGACTTGTGTTATAGAGTCATTCAGAATGTTGGTAAGCTGCTGTTTGCTTTCATGTACACGTTGAGAAGCAGTTGGAATATATTTCCTTTGAGAGCTGGTTTCATCTAAAAGAGCTCAAGTAAGTCATCCCAAATACTAAAATAGACACTACTGCATTCACTTAAAGGGATCAAAATTTCCCCTAACCAGAAAATATTACGGCCCCTTATAAATTTTGATGCAACTTGATGCAAAGACCCTGAGTTGCTCACAGCCTACATACTCTACTTTCTTTTGGATAAGAGTGTGTAATCCTAAGAATCATTATCCTCTTACATATGAATTAAAATG